CCCCCCCAACCCCCAATCCCTTCGTCTCCACCTCCCTCCTCAACATGTACACCCGCGCCAAGGGGGTCCCTTCCGCGCGCGCGGTCTTCGACTCCATGCCCCAGGAGTCGGTCGGGATGGTCATCACCGCCATGGTAATGATCACCTACTATGCGAAACCCGGCGATTTGGAGAGCGCGCGACAGATGTTTGAGCGAACGATCGGGCGAGATTGCGTCTGTTGGGACGCGATGATCGATGGGGTACGCAGAGCACGGGCGAGATTGCTATTCCCAGTAACATTTCTGTTGTATTTAATGTCCTCTATATATATATATATATATTTGTTTAGTAATCTTTGTCCTCTGAATTATGGTAAATAATTGAAAATTTTAGTGCTATAGTTGATGATGTTGGGGTTTAATTTAGCTGTCCGATATCATATTATCGGTCAATATCTAACGACAAACTTTACTGAATTATATTTGAAGCTTCTATTGTTAACTGAAGCGAAGGTGATTTAAGTAAAGCATCCGAAGTTGAGGCTATGTAAGTTTCTTGTTAGGCTTTCATTATTCACTAGTAGAAAACTGAGTATTGGCGACGGGGTATTAGCGACGGATTTGAAATCCGTCGCCAATACAAACATTGGCGACGGAACATTGGCGACGGGGTTTTTCCCGTCGCCAATGTTTGTATTGGCGACAGATTTCAATCCGTCGCCAATGTTTTCCTGTCGCCAAAATTCTATCCGTCGCCAATGTTCCGTTGCAAATACTTATTAGCGACAGATTCTATTCGTCGCCAATAAGTATTGACGACGAAAATGTTGCGTCGCCAATACATATTGGCGACGGAAGAGATCCGTCACCAATGTTTCGTCACCAATACTTATTAGCGACAGATTCGATCCGTCGCCAATACACATTGGCGATGAATTCGATCCGTCGCCAATAAGTATTGGCGACGGATTCGAGTCGTCGCCAATGTTCCGTCGCCAATACTTATTGGCGACGGATTCGAATACGTCGCCAATACTTATTGGCGATGAATCGAATCCGTTGCCAATGTCCTTCGCCATCGTAAAAAATTAACATTAGTGATTGATTATCCCATTGTTAATGAGTGGCCCCACAAAAAATTAAGAATTATTTTAATATTAGTCCCTCAAATCTATAATATTTTAAATGTAGTCCAATACTATTTTGTTCCACGCAGGTAGATGATAGCTTGAGAGCTGAGGACGTGGAAGTCTACTATGATCCAGGAAAGTTGTTTGGTGGCCTTCTCAAAGGCCCCCTGCTCCCCTCTAGCGTCGTCGTCGAGGAGGCTGTAGTCGTAACTTTGTCGCTGGAGGCATGTCCCTTCTTCAGGGAGAAGTGATATATGCTTCCTGAATTTGAATTTGCTTGTAGAACGAATCTAGTAGTTTTCTCGTTAATAAATGAATGGAATTAGTGGAAATACCTCTTGCTTGTTCAAAAATTAGTGGAATTAATGAGCAATATAAGAGGGTGGTTTTCTAGTCATATTTTTATACTTTCAAGAAAACCAATCTAAAGATAACCACTAACATGTAGAAAACTGAGCATTGAAGACGGGGTATTGGCGACAGATTTGAAATCCATCGCTAATACAAACATTTGCGATTGAAAGATACATATGTTATCAGATTCCTATGTTAAAATATTTTTAATTAATTAGGAATTCTATGTTCGTTTTAAATTTTATTTATTTTTATTCTTTATGCTAGTAGATTCGATGAACTCCACTACTCTTGGCTTCATTTACGGATGGACTTGAGCCTGTAAACATCATTAATGAATCTGAGAGGAGATAAATTAGATTTAATCACTAAAAACCGGATGAAAATAGTTTGGATAGAGTTCTCTTGGAGTTTTTCATAAGGTTAAGAGGAGAAAGAGCCGTCAAAATTGAGTTCGAGCGAATATGATATAACAGGTCCTTAGTTCGAACTCTTGGATCGCTACTACTTTCTTTTTTGTGAAATTTTTACATATATACCCAAGCATTGTATATATTTGTAAATACCCCCAAAGCATCATTTTACTAATTTCCCCCTCTAAATTGTCTTTTCCATTTAAGCTTATGTCTCAAATTGAACGAAGATTTAATGACCAAGAAAATCGAATACATATTTGGTTAATTTCTATTTGTTTATGAGTTTAATAACTAATAGATATTCATTTATTGTTAAATGAGATAGCGAATCAAATTTTATCGAATAGCTAGATGAATAATAACTAAACAGTTTATTGATTATTTGGTTCACTTCCACCCCTACCTCTATAGCTAGATGAATAATAACTAAACAGTTTATTGATTATTTGGTTCACTTCCACCCCTACCTCTAGGCTTATGAAACACCTCTACTATTATTGTTTAAGACGCATATATTGCTATTGTCTGAGAAAAGTTATTCCTAGGTATTCTACCCTGATACTAATGCTATAATAATTAACAATATGGTTTGTTATACATAAATTAAAAGTCAAGGGAAACTAGTAATAATGGTTAGATTTAAAAGAATATTTCTTTAAATATAACCGGTGTTAACCAGGGGACCTAATAGTAAATATTGTGATGATTGAGGGATGTAATAAAAATTTCCATAATTTGTGTGAGTAATTTTGAAATATTAAAGATAGCCAATCGGATTAATTTTGAAACGGGTTAACTTATCATACCAGAATTTATCATACCAGAACTTATCAACTAGGTCCAAACGGGTTAATTTTTTATAATTAAAAGTCAAGGAAAACTAGTAATAATAGTTAGATTTAAAAGAATATTTCTTTAAATATAACCGGTGTTAACCAGGGGACCTAATAGTAAATATTGTGATGATTTGAGGGATGCAATAGAAATTTCCAAGATTTGAGTGAGTAATTTTAAAATATTGAAGATAGCCAACAGGACTAATTTTTAAACGGGTTAACTTATCATACCAGAACTTATCATACCAGAACTTATCAACTAGGTCCAAACGGGTTAATTTTTTATAATTAAAAGTCAAGGAAAACTAGTAATAATAGTTAGATTTAAAAGAATATTTCTTTAAATATAACCGGTGTTAACCAGTGGACCTAATAGTAAATATTGTGATAATTTGAGGGATGTAATAGAAATTTCCATGATTTGAGTGAGTAATTTTAAAATATTGAAGATAGCCAATCAGACTAATTTTGAAATGGGTTAACTTATCATACCAGAACTTATCAACTAGATCCAAACGGGTTAACTTTTTATAATTAAAAGTCAAGGAAAACTAGTAATAATAGTTAGATTTAAAAGAATATTTCTTTAAATATAACCGGTGTTAACCAGGGGACCTAATAGTAAATATTGTGATGATTTGAGGGATGTAATAGAAATTTCCATGATTTGAGTGAGTAATTCTAAAATACCCCTAAAGTTTCATTATTTGCAGTTTACCCCCAAAACATGCAAAAAACCTAGAAATTTTCAAAAAAATTTCTTTACCTTCTAAAGTTGCAAGAAAACCCCCTAAAAGTTTTAGAATTTGCAATTACCCCTAAAAATTACAAAAAACCACCCTTAAGAGTTTTAGAAATTACAGTTTCCCCAGAATTTGCAATTACCCCTAAAAATTACAAAAAACCACCCTTAAGAGTTTTAGAAATTACAGTTTCCCCCCAAAAATTGCAGAACCCTCCTTAAATATTTCCTATATTTAAATTTAACCCCAAAACTATAGAAACCCCCCCTGAAAGTTTCATATTTTGTAAATTACACAACATATTGTAGAACACTCCTCCTCGAAAGTTTAGATTTTGCAATTTATAAAAGAATGCTAGGTTTCCCTTAGCTGAAGAAGAAGAACAGCTATAGTTTGACTGAGATTAGTTTTTCAATTTTCCATAAGAAGACAAGAAAATGATAGCAAAGAGGAGAAAAATATATATGACGGCAAAAAAGGATAAGAGTGTAGCATAGTAGAGAAAATAAAGAAACTAAATTAGCCATGGCTAAGATATTGTATAAAAATTTTAGGGCTTTTTATTTCTATTAAAGTGAGATAGTTGACTGAGAGTAGCGAGTGCCACGTGTCATAATTTGGTTGAGTTGAAGCATGCATTAATGGTACTCAATCAGGACAAATTTTCAAAACCATCCTATTTGCAATTTTATTCTAAAAAAACGATCTCTTTCAAAATTATTTGTAAAAACCAACCTGATTTCAGCCTCAGCGCTTTCTGGGTCGGTTTTTACAAAAAAAGTTCTAAAACTTCACGGGACTTCAAGTCCCGTGAAGTTTAATAGCTATTTTGTTAAGCTGCTAAACTTCACGGGACTTCAAGTCCCGTGAAGTTTAAAAGTTTAAAAAACTTCACTGGACTTGAAGTCCCGTGAACTTTTTTAACCTTTAAAAAAAACTTTCGTAACCCTTGAACGCGTAATACTCGATCCTCGAATAATAAAACCCCGGCAAAAACAGCAACGAGCCCAGAATCGCAAACGAGACCCCTAATTTTTCAAAAATCGCATCAAAATTGCACCAATCAAAAGGGTCATGTGATTGAAGTTAGGATTCCTTCTGAGCCCATTTGATGGCTTTCTAATTAAAAGAAGAGAGATTTGGTTAGGCGACTTGAGAGCTCCTCCTCTGATGAAATGGGTCCTGTAATGGCAAAAGCTCACTCCTTTCTTTGATTTTCTCAGGTGGGGAGCTGCAGAGCTTGGGTCTGCAATGAAAGTAGCAGCAGCTGAAGACATTGATGAAGATCCCTTTCTCTCTGAAAATTTTCCTCAAAGACTTCGAAGAAGGAAAATAACGAAGTTTTTCCCCCTTTGTTTTCTTTTCTTTGACCAGGTCGGAGATTGAGAATAAAATTTCAAAACCCCTCTTTGATCCACGTAAGCCATTAGAGAGAGAAGAGAGAGCAGGTGACAAGTTTTGTGGGGACTGGAGTAGCGAGCAAGAGAAAGCGGATGAGCACCTCGTTTTATATAATTTGAAACTTCACGGGACTTCAAGTCCCGTAAAATTTATCAGCTTAACAAAATAACTGCTAAACGTGAAGTTTCGGAACTTTTTTTGTAAAAACCAACCTGGTTTCAGCGCTGAGGCTGAAACCAGGTCGGTTTTTACAAATAATTTTGAAAGGGGCCGTTTTTAGGGAATAAAATTGCAAATAGGGTGGTTTTGAAAGTTTGTCTTACTCAATCAACATCCAAGAAGCTGTTTTTCCAATGATAAAGGTTGCACTGCCTCTCTCAACATAAATTTATGAACTCTAAATTACCAACAACCTAAACAAACTGAAAAATACACATTCGTACCAACGAAAATACGCAGCATACACCAAAGCCTTGTGACAATATGCACATCACAAACGCATACAAACATCCAAAGCTCCCTTCTAATTAAGCCCATTTGGCCATGATGGACATGCCCCCAGCGCCCAACAACACCGCGACGTACGCCCACAACTGCAACTTGACATTGCCTTGCAACTTCGGCCCCATGAAGTCGGCGGCGAGGAGATCCACCAACGCCATGTAGTGCAGTAGCCCCGCGGACGACGCGTTCAGCAGCCCGACCACGATGAGCGCTGTCGGGCTGTTGTCGCTGTACACGTTGGACAGCCCGATCCCGAGGGCGATCCCAAAGGGGGTCGTGGTGGAGAAGAAGAAGACTAGTATTGATTTCATCTTCATCCCGTATTCTGCCTGTAGTAAATATAAATTTGATATCAGAGCAACTCAGATTCAAATTAATTTAACTATATTATATTATTAACATATTTTGGAGACGGTGAGCGTGAATTGGTAAGTCACCTGGAGAATGCAACCGCCAAGGCCCATTCCTTCGAAGAGCTGGTGAAAGCAAAGGGCGGCAACGAGAGGTCTAATTGTGCAAGGATTTTGAGAAGCCCCCATTGACAGGCCAATTACTACAGAGTGAACAACAATTCCCATTTCTAGGACCTGCAAAAATAAATAAATAAATAAATAATAAAAGGGAAAAAAATGTTTAGATTTGAAAGGGCCCGTTTGGTTGGTTTCCTAAAATCAAAGAAAAGGAAATCGGTACAAGGAAATCAATAAAATAATATTTTTATCCATTTCCATCTCTAAAACTCACCCATAACATCCAATAAAATATTATTTTTATCCTCCAACTCATCTCATTTCATCTCCTCTCTTATCTTTAAAAATAAACCAAACACAAGAAATGTGTCACATCATCCAACTCATCACATCTCATCTTATCTCATTTTTAAAAATCACACACATCACCCAATAATATTGTGACAACTCATCTCATCTCATTAAACCTTCATTTTTATCTATTTCCTCAAAAAAAAAAAAAAACAAGAAATTGATTTCCTTAAGTATGTGTCACATCATCCAATAATATACCTCCAACTCATCTCATCTCATCTATTTTCTTATTTTTAAAAATGAACCAAACACAAGCAACCTCAAAACATCATCCAATAATATACCTCCAATTCATTTTCTTATTTTTTTTAACCAACCAAACAACCTCAAAATAAATTTTTTTTAAAAAATCACTCACATCATCCAATAATAAGGTGACAACTCATCTCATCTCATCTCCTATTCTATAATTTCCTTCTTTTTTAAACCAACCAAACAACATCAAAACAATTATTATAGGAAATAAGTTTCCTATTCTTTGATTTCCCTTTTTTTTTTTCGAAACGAACAACCCATAAGTAGATGTTTATCTAATACCTGTGTGTAATTTAAACTTCTTCGATCCCCTAGCTAATACCTTAATTATTACTTTGGTATGTCTATAATTCATAATACCTAACCAAAACAATTCTCAATTTATCAACATAAAAGATATAAGATTTTGTAATCATGCAGATTTCAAGAACGACTTCTCAAATAAGGGTAAGATATTAGATTTTTTTGCTTTGTAATATTTAACAAACAATACTGATTTTTGTAACATAAATAGATAAATAAAAAGTTTTTTTTTTAAATTTTCGTTTACTGCTTAAATAATGTCAACGAGAGTGTACGGCAATGCTCTAGATTCAATTCGAATCATAAGCGCATCAAATTCTCATCCCAAGCTTAAACTATATTACTCCCGTCAACTATGCCTCACTTGAAGTCTAGATGCCATCTTTCAAATATAAGTATTCGTCACACATCTCCAAACTAATTAACTGCACTATATCATATCTAAACTTTTAGTCCAAATTACAGCAAATTAAAATAAAAAAATCAAACGCCATGAATAACCTCACCTGCGCAATGATCCGATTTCTACGCAACCTCGACTCTTCACCATCCTTACCATCAACCATCAGCGCCCCGTGCCCGTGCCCGTGTCCATGCCCGTGCACAATCTCATTCCCAAGCGGACTCTCACAATCCACAACCTCAACAATCCCGCTCCCCTTACTACCACTCTTCCCCTTATAAAAAGTCAGCATCAGCGAATCCACCATCAGCGTAAACACCGCCGACAGCATCGCGACGAACGCCGTAAAAGGAAACTTTCTCCAAGGGCTCTCCGGCAGGCATGGCGAGCTGAGGTTATCGAATGAGTCGGGCAACACGTGCATGTAGCCCGTAGCAAGAATCACGCCGGATGCAAACGCCTTGACGAGGGCGAAGAGGTTGCGGTCTGGGCTCAGCGCGGGGATCGAGCGGGTGAAGAGCGGGAGGCAGACGCCGATCATGCTCGAGATTAGGATCGTAGCTATCGCGATCAGTTTGAGCTTCAGGGCCTTGGGTTTGTCGTAGCATTCGCCGCGAGAGGGAGCGCTGCATTCGTTGGCGGCGAAAGAAATGGTGGAGGAGATTAGGAGGAGGAGGAGGAGGAGGAGCGTTGAAGAGTTAGAGGCCATGGCTCGTTCTTGATGCTGAGAGAGGGTGAGGTTGGAGTTGAGATTTATAGAGGGAGATTTTAGCCTTGTGTTGGATATTTAACATGCGGCTTGTTAGCATGTGTAGGCATGCAGCCATGTTGCGGCAAATTAAGACTTTGGACTTGGTCTGGTTCGATAAAGGATATATTAAGAATGAGGAATTTAAGAAATCATCTGGTTAAGTATCACATTGCAATGTAACTAAATTTGTTGACCTTTTAGATGAGATTCTAGATAAATTAATACACTAAATAAGGCTAAATCATCAGATTGGAATATTCTAACCATTTTCCAATATAAGGTACTTATTTTTGCCCTAGCGTCAATATTATCATTAGGGCCCAAGTTAAAATACCATGCTAATGTAAAAGAAGAAATAAACACCTTATTGGAAAATATGATCAAATTAGAATACCAATCTGGTAATTTAGCGCACACTAAATCCTAGCGTTTTGCAATAAGCCCTCAATAACTTTTGGATTTGGAGAAAACCCACAATAAGTTTTCACATTTTGCGGATAATCCCCATAAATTAGAACGAAAAACAATAGAAAATTTGCTTGGAAGGACAATTTCAAAAAAAAAAAAGGGTTGGGGACCCAATCTGGGTGCAAACAAGAGGAGAAGTAGAGAACGAATGACAAAAGTCAGGAGATCTCTAATTTTAAGTCAACTGAGTTACATGTAGCGATATTCTAACAATGTTAGGCTTGAGAGTTTTCTACAAAAGTTACTAGAGGTTTAGTGCGATTTTGAAAGTTATAAGGTTTCACTACAAAGCACTGAAAGTTCGGGGGGTTTGTGTAATTTACCATCAAATTTATATTAGTCGCTGAAGTTGGAAAGGAGAGAATTATCATGATTTTTTATAGGGAAAAATGCTTCCAGCCCCCAAAAGCCAAGAGAACGTGCTTCCCACCCTTAAGATTTTGTCAACGGGTGTTTTGCCCCCAAAAATAAAGATTCTGTTCTCTAATCCCCCAAAACACAAAACCCAAGAGATTAAAATATGTACCATAATACACTTCTCTCTCTCTCTCTTTCTTTTTTTATTAAAATATGATGAGGATTATTTTATTATTTTTGTTTTCTCTCTCTCTTTATCATGATGTACTGAGATGATAGTTGGAATGATCGATGAAGATTATTTTATTATTTTTATTTTTTATTATTTTTGTTGTTTGTATTGGGAGATTGTTAAAGTTACATGTTAATTGTTAAGGTTACGAGTTAATTGTTAATGTTACGGGTCAATTATTAAGGTTATGGATCCTCTCTCTCTCTATATATATATATCATGATGTTACTTTGATGATATTAAAATGATTGAAGATGATTATTATTTTATTATTTTAGTTTTTATTCTTTTCGTATTTTTAGAATATTCGTTGTTAAGGATAATGGTTGGTTGTAAAAGTTATGCATTGATTGTTAAGGTTACGGGTTGATTGTTAAGGTTACGAGTTTGTTATCAATGTTATGGGTTTGTTGTGTAGGTTATGGATTTGTTGTTAAGGTTACGGTTTTAATTGTTAATGTTACGAGTTTAATTGTTAATTGTTAAGGATAATGGTTGGTTGTAAAGGTTATGCATTGGTTGTGAATGTTACGAGTTGGTTGGTTGTAAAGGTTATACATTGGTTGTGAAGGTTACAAACAATTAACTTGTAATCTTTTTTTTAAGGTTACGGGTTGACGTCGGTCTGTGGGAGGAGACGGGACATGGAGGACGCCGTATCGATCCGACCCGATTTTGTCGAGGGAAGCTCGGCGGTTGCTGGGAAGTTTCACTTCTTTGGAGTCTTTGATGGCCATGGATGCTCTCATGTAAGCTAGCTTCTAAAATTCAAATCCTATTATCCTCTATTCGCCACGTGTTTTTTTTACTCGGAAGCCACTTGGGAACTAATATTTTCAAATTTGCAACTCGATAGGGCGGTTTAATTACCGTTAAAAATCATACGTCTTGTTAACTGAAGGTTACGGGTTTAATTGTTAAAGTTAATGATTTAATTGTTATGCATTGATTGTGAATGTTACAGATTGGTTGGTTGTAAATGTTATGCATTGGTTGTGAAGGTTACGGGTTTGTTGTTAAGGTTATGGGTTTGTTGTGTAGGTTACGGGTTAATTGTTAAGGTTATGAGTTTAATTGTTAAGGTTACGTGTTTAATTGTTAAGGTTACGGGTTTAATTATTAAGGTTACAAGAGAGAGAGAAGGGATCCATAACCTTAATAATTGACCCGTAAACTTAACAATTAAACCCGTAACCTTAACAATTAAACCCGTAACCTTAACAATTGACCCGTAACCTTAATAATTGACCCGTAACCTTAACAATTGACCCGTAACCTTAACAATTAAACCTGTAACCTTAACAATTGACACGTAACCTTAACAATTAAACCCGTAACCTTAATAATTAAACTTGTAACCTTAACAATTGACCAGTAACATTAACAATTAAACCGTAACCTTAACAATTAAACCCGTAACCTTAACAATTAAACCGCAACCTTAACAATTAAACTCGTAACCTTAACAATTAAACCCATAACCTTAATAATTAAACCATAACCTTAACAATTAAATCGTAACCTTAACAATTAAACTCGTAACCTTAATAATTAAACCGTAACCTTAACAATTAAACCCGTAACCGTAATAATTAAACACGTAACCTTAAAAATTAAACTCGTAACCTTAACAATTAAACCGTAACCTTAACAATTAAACCATAACTGTAACAATTAAACTCGTAACCTTAATAATTAAACCCGTAACCTTAATAATTAAACTCGTAACCTTAACAGTTAAACTCGTAACCTTAACAATTAAACCCGTAACCTTAACAACAAATCCGTAACCTACATAACAAACCCATAACCTTAACAACAAACCCGTAACCTTAACAACCAACCCGTAACATTAATAATCAATGCATAACCTTTACAACCAACCATTATCCTTAACAACGAATATTCTAAAAATACAAAAAGAATAAAAAACGAAATAATAAAATAATAATCATCTTTAATCATTTTAATATCATCAAAGTAACATCATGATAGAGAGAGAAAGAGAGGATCCATAACCTTAATAATTGACCCGTAACATTAACAATTAATTCGTAACATTAACAATTAACTCGTAACTTTAACAATCTCCCAATACAAACAACAAAAATAATAAAAAATAAAAAATAATAAAATAATCATTCGTAACTTTAACAATCTCCCAATACAAACAACAAAAATAATAAAAAATAAAAAATAATAAAATAATCATCATCAATCATTTCAACTATCATCTCAGTACATCATGATAAAGAGAGAGAGAAAACGAAAATAATAAAATAATCATCATCATATTTTAATAGAAAAGAAAGAGAGAGAGAGAGAGAAGGATATTATGGTCTTCACATATTTCAATCTCTTGGGTTTTGTGTTTTAGGGGCTCAGAGAACAGAATCTTTTATTTTTAGGGGTAAAACACCCGTTGACAAAGTCTTGGAGGAGGGAAACACATTTTCTTGGTTTTTGAGGGCCGGAAGCATTTTTCCCTTTTTTTATATAGGTTTTTTTCGGTAATCATGCAAAGAAATACGGACTTGAACACTCCAAATGTGCTCATCAAAAGGACACCTTATTTTATTTTTTCATAGTTTTTATTCTTGATAAATTAAAATATATTATCTAATTTTATAATGTGTATAATTCTTTATGTCACAATTTTAATGAGGCCGACTAACCGTTAGTTGGGTTGTTAGCAAACAACATCACTGCCCTTAAAAATACATACTGACTTATTTCCCGGTTTACCCTCACAGGTAAGCTTATTTCTATGAATTTATATTTGAGACGATTTAGATTTTCCTAACTGATGAGGGTATCGTGGGAATGATCTCTCACTATCTCAGCGGATGCGGCACTATGTGCATTGTACTTGCTCATGACTCATGAGTCCTTTCCTGTACGCTGGGGAATTGCGGAGTGTACGAGCCATGGCTAAGATATTAAGTTGACTTTTGTAGAAGGGAATCTATTCATAGTAATTAAAGTGTACCCTTTTGGAGAGAGTTGTCTTTCTCATGGAAAAAACGGCAAAGACAAGTGATTTATTATTGATGCATGACTTCATCCAAGTACTTAATTGTGAGTTAATTTTATATTGGATATAAATTATAGTAATCATCAAGTTTGTCAATGATAAGCATATCCATTGTACTTAGGGTTGTCCAAAAAGCCCGCGGTCCGGGCTCGGCCCGGCGCCCGGCCCGGGTTTTGCCCGGATGCCCGGGCCAGGCCCGGGTCGGTTTTTCAGAAATCGGTCCGGACCCGGGTCCGGCCCGGAACAGTGCCGGGGCGGGCACGAGATTCGGGCCGGCGGGCCGCCCGGGCCCGGGACTGGCCCGGATGAAACGGTCAACAGAAGGTGACCGTTTGTGGTAAACGGTCATATTGATGTTTTGACCGTTTTGCCCCCAACAACGGTAAAAAAACGATCAAAATGTGAGATTTTTTGGGTCATTTGCCTAGGGGTCTGCCTTTATAAATAGATGATGGTTTTCACTTCTTCTACTCACACCAAAACTCTTCTATTTCTCTCTAATACTCTCTTATACAATATTATAGTCTCTTATAATCTATTATATTTTCTAATACTTCCATCAAATGGCTTCTGGATCTGAATATGAAGAGCAAAATCTATCTCCTACTGATCCAGAAATGAGTCCTCCTACAATAACTCCTCCTCCAACCAGTGTTAATCCTAAATCTGGTGGCGACTGTTTGGTTCAAAAGTCGCTGCTGTGGAATTCATTATAACTTTGTTCGATTACAATAAATTCGAAAGAATAATCTTTTTATAAGACTTTTTCTACACAACAAAACAAAAATTACAACTCTTGAGAAACAAACACGAAAATCGTCTATCAATTCTCGTTTTCGTGGGACTTTGCCTGTGCCGGGAACGCTTTGGTTCGTGGACCGCCGATTCACAGATCGTGAAGAGGGGGCTTATGATTCTAACTTCGTTATCGAAGTAGAAATTGAAACGATATCTTATCGAAGTAAGATAGTCGTTCTTCTTAAAATCAAGTCGAAGCTTAATTTCAAGGCGTTGCAAGAAAAGAACTCAAATCTCTGCTCTCTCTGCTCTGGAATGCTCTAACAAATGCTCGATCCTCGTCAGAAGTGACCCTAGGGGGGTATTTATAGCCTCAAGGGTCAGTAACTGCAAAAACTTAACAATCGAAGAAGTCAGTACGGCGAGACAGTGTTTACTGTCTCGCTGGGCGAGACAGCGTTTGCTGTCTCGACCCGCGAGACAGTAAATTTGCTGTCTCGCTCAGCGAGACAGTAAATGCTGTCTCGGAAAATGGCAGTTTCTCGCTGTAACTATTCTCTCACGTTTCAAACTCCGTTATTTTGGCAGTTATCCACGTGATTTTCGCCCATGATGTTTCCCACGTCCCTTGGCAGTTAATGGACACGTGTAGGGCAGTTACAAATGTAGTTTTGACTATTTCAACACTGTCTCGCTGGCGAGACAGCAAAGACTGTCTCGCTGGCGAGACAGCAAAGACTGTCTCGCTGGCGAGACAGTTCATACTTGTTTTGATTTTTCCAAAACAGTATGAAATCCTTTCTTGTGAATTTTTGAGTGATCTTCTCTATGCTTGGGATATCTATTAGCATTTTTTGACGCCTACAGATACCCCCTCCAAAGTATTCCAGACTCATTCTTTTATAGAGGAGCATGGGATACTTTGGATAAGATAGATTTTACTTACGATCCCTTCAATGCTTGGCTGAATAGATCGTATGAAAGGACTTGTAAATGGCTTCAATGTTTAACCTCTTCTGCTGTTAGTCTATCCAGTTCTTCGTAGAATAGCTAACGTTCTCCCGGCGTCGCGTTTATCGCTTGACCGTTGTCGAGATCTTGAATTGAAGTTGATACTTGCTCTTGTGAATTCAGCGTTTACCATTGAATTGGTATATCCATTGAGAATTCCTCAGGTTATCCTTAAGAATATTCAGATTAATATTCTCCAGAAACTTCCTGTTGAGGGTGGGAATACAGTTTAGACTCGTGTACCCATTGGAGTATTCCACTGTTCCATAGTGCAAAACAGAAAAGTTTACTGTCTCGCTCGGCGAGACAGAGTTTTCTGTCTCGCTGGGCGAGACAGTGTTTTCTGTCTCGCTCGGCGAGACAGAGTTGTCTGTCTCGCTCAGCGAGACAGAGTTTCCTGTCTCGCCCGGCTGCTATATAAGTCGGGACTTAGGGTTTTAGGGTTTTTTACGTCGGATTTTGGCGATTTTTTGGGCGATTCTTGGGCGATTTTCGACCAGTTTTCTTCTATTTCTTCTCCTCTTTGTTGCCGACTTGGGAGGTGCTCTTGTTTGGGAAGATTTCACTCAGATTTCAAAGGTTTGTTCTTCCCCTTTTCTCCAAAATTTTGACTCTCCTTCAACTGTGACTGTGCATGCATCATTTCGGTTGTATTTGTCCTATTTTTTGTCGATTTCATGTTCAAAATCTTAACCTTCCTCTTGGATTTCAATGTAGATCACATACTCATCATGTCGCCACGTAGAGCTCGAGGGAAGGGAATCCGACCGACTGTTCAGAGCCCTGAGGAGGCTGCCCCTGCTGCACCCTCACGTGGAGGTATATTTCTTTCACCTTTTCACGAATTTAAATATTGTATTTCGTCCATTCCATATGTATGTTCCTATTTTTGCTTGCAGATCCTCGTTTGTATCCTTTGAGGTACCTTCGAGAAGAGCCGGTATCCTCCTTTGAGGGGATCGACGC